TTTGCAATTTTAAGGCATTTAGGAAATACTTGACAATGTATACATAGATTTATTAATTTGGTGAGAGGTACAATTATAATGTTAAGAAGAGTTTTTATGATTTTCACAGTTATATCATATGGATCTTTGCTTTTGCCATTTTTTAAATTACTTACTATTGATCTTATTTGGTTAAAAGTTAAAAATAACTGCATAAACGCAAGGGAAACATAAGTGGAACCACCTATTGGTGTGACACTTAAGTCAACTGGCCAAGTTTTTATGTCAGTGCCGGTGGTTTGACCAACCAAGTGACAACTGCGGTAGCAGAAATTTAGAGCTATCCTGGAATGCCATCATTTCCCAAATTTTTGCTACCACAGTTGTCGGTTGATTGGTCAAACCGCCAATACTGACATAAAAACTTGTCAAGTTAACTTGGGTGTCACACCAATAGGTGATTCAACTTATGTCCCGCTTGCGTTTATGCAGTTATTTTTATCAAGTACTTTTTACGGTCATTCACATTTTGTCTTCAATCGAAGACGGCCTGCCCAGTACTGACGATGCCCTACAAGCTGAAACATCTGTCTACCTGTAGCTCCAGCTGTTTCCGCCTGGACCTATTGTTATGATATATGTCTTATTTTAGACAAAGTATCTAAGTAGACACAAAAATGTTATGCTGTCAAAAAATTAACATCTTTTGAATCTATCAACAACTCACATAACCACAATACACTCCTAGTTGTGACAAAAAAATGAATACATAGCCTGAACAAACAGAAGTAATATTTTTTTTATACTTACAACCATAGGTTTATATGGTGGTTCACATCTGCGATTTATAACATCATCCCAGTTGGTACTTCTGAAATATGGATGTCTTATAATCTCGTTTGCATCTTCAGGACCAGAACCCAATCTGGAAGCAACTTGTCTCTTCAATAGTCTCCTCAGAAAGTCTCTAGTATCTCTATTTAAATAAGCAGGATAAATTAGTTTCTTTTTTACGATTGAGTCTATTGTCTCCTTACGATTTGCCCCTCCGAAAGGAGGCTGGAAAGAAAGAAGTAAAATAAAATTTATCTAAAATCAAGAATTCTTCTATAAAAAAACGGTTCACTGTTGATTAACATAAATTTATATTAGATTGTTTCAAAAGTTTCGTCCGTTTTGAAGTCATGTGTTTTTGTAACTCCATATCTCAATGAATATTTATTATTTGTCGTGGTATATACTGATCGATAGAGAATTTTGTTTTGTAGTTGTTCCTAAAATAATTTTTTGCTGTGAACTGGTTAATTTTGGGCAAAAAACACAAGAGACATTTTTTGTTTAGAATGAAACAGGCTATCGGAAATAAATTTTTAAATGGTAAACAAATAATGAGACAAAAAGTTACATTGGAAATAAATTTTAGGAGTTGCGTTTTCCACCCCTTACAACCATGGGGTAAACCAAATAAATTTCTGACTAAGTGTCTTTTGTAACTTTTTTAGTGCTTGTGAAAAAAATTGTTATACAAATTTTATGTACCCCCTTTAAGGGGCTGTATCTTAACAAGGCATGCTCCAATGAAATTTCTTTATATGAAAGATCCTATCTTTCTTTCGATGAGGAATCATCTCCTTTAATGTTTTACACTTATTTAGTTACACCCTGTATAATGTATGACACAATCTATCAATGATCACAGCAATATCAGAGCATACAGGTATGAATCTAGTCGGGTTTCAAACACTTCAATAGAGCCGGATTTCAGATGTTGACTCTGCTCCAGGGTTGGAATATTAATAATTTTCAATCTTTGTTGGTATTAAAGATCATGTAGTTCTCTAGGAAGTTTCGTCAGCTGTCTCTGTGTGCGCTCCGGGAGATAAATGCCCTGTCATTAATGGGGCGACCAAACCACACCGGCATACTCCACAATGGACCTGATATACATCTTCAAAATATTTTGATGAATGCTTTATTAAGCCTTCTGAAGCATTTGGCGAGGGAGTAGCTGGTTCCATTTGCCTTCTTCATGGTGGTTCCATTGCAGATCCAAAGACATTGTCACACCGAGATTTTGCTGGGACAGTGTAGGTTGGAGGATGTTTTCACAGATGGCGTATTCTAGGAGAGGATTTATTTGTTCTAAATGCAAGACCCTGCACTTGTTCCCATTCAGAGGAATCATCCATCGCCCGGACCAGGCAATAGCTATGAGATCGACTTGCAGTTGATGGCCAACCAACTACAATCGAATCCCAAACACCAAATTTTTACGCTGACGGAATTAATAAGATTGTTTTACGTTGGCAAATGTGCACTGATTCAAATGTCGCTTATTTCGATTAAATTTAATATGTATTCACCGAGACATCACAGTTTGAAGTATACTCAAATTGACAAAACTTTTGAATCAACCTAATAACAGTACAATAACAAAAGAATGAAGATGGGACTTTTGATGAAGATTTAGAAAATGATGATAAAATACTTGTGCCAAATATGCAGAATGTAAAATAGAAAAACTATTATTCAAAAAATTTCTTCAACATTATATTTGAGCTTTACTTGCTGCTTGTGCTCCTGAAAATAAATTCGAAAAGCTAGATATTTCAACAGGGAATTCGTTCAATAACATATTTCTACATAGAAATCTAAAAAAAAATAGATAATATTGAGACAGAAGATAGTGTAAATGTTAAGAAACTGGTCTGTAGTGAAGTTCAGATTCATGATAAAATACTGAAAGTATAAAGGTAAGAATAATAATCGCTTATTTGGCACAAGAAGGATATAATAATATCGTCTTTGTTATTTCATAAATAAAAAACTCAACACAAGTTACATATTGAAACTAGCAAGTGAAATAAAGGGCGAAGTTCATCGTCCATAAAGCAATACATTACGGAAAATGTTCTTGAGAACCCTCGAAGTTAGATCAGTTGAATTACAAAAAATGTTTATTTTGAAGGTCAATCAAACAACANTGCTTATTTTTCAATATAAATAATTATTCATGCTAAAAAATAATTTATAAATACTTGATCTCTATGGACAGTAGACTAGAAAAATTATATGCAACATATCATGATCCTGTTCAATAAATTCGTTGATTCAAATTAAAATAATAATCTACTCACTGCTCCAGTCATCAAATCAAATCCAAGTGCACCAAGGGACCACCAGTCTACTGCCTTGCCATGACCGCGACGAGTTAAAATTTCTGGAGCCCTGTGAAAATTGTATACTGTTATAATCAAATATTTATATTATTGGTTGTTTCAGAACTTTTGTTCTCGGACCGAGATTTTTTGACGGGCCGATATGGGGACTGTACTAATCCAATACAAAATACTTTTGAACTTGTCTACCGCCGCCGTCTCGTCATTCGCCCGGCCATGTTTTGTTTTCCATCGCTCTAGTGTTGTTTGTTATTTAATTAAAACATTAGTTCAATTGAAATGACAAAGAAATTTAAATATGACATTTATTCGTTAATTGAAGAGATAGAAACGAAAGAATGTTTGTGAGATGAAACTAAAGAAGTATCTAGGACAAGATCACGGGAAAAAATGCATGGCAATATGTTTGCGTTTTTTTTGGAGACAAACTTTGGGGAAATGACAACAAAACAAAAGACGAAATTAGTAAGTACCATGTTCATTTTATTCAGTATTCTTATTATTAATTACAAATTTAGATCTTTGCATCTGCCAAGGTAAAGAGTCTTCTGGGCTAACAAAGTATTCAGCAAATTTATTTCTTATATCATTAGCGGTACTCCCGCCGTGCTGTACATTTCTTGCCCTTGCTAGATTGGTCAACCCATCATGCCCAGTAGACACGAACATATTATCTTCATTTCTGTAGCCATCTTTTTCACGTACAATATTGTGTAAAACGATAAACGCTTCAACTATAGAATTGAACAGTTTGTTTGATACATTTAGAGAACGATGAAATATTCGCCACTTGTTGGCCATAATGCCGAAAGCACATTCAACATACCTTCATGCGCCACACAGTCGATAGTTGAATATACGTTTTGGAACGTCTAAATGATTTCCACCAAAAGGCGTAATAAATTTTGAGTGAGCTGAAAAGCTTCATCACCTATTAAAACGTGTGGCAGTCTGTCGTTTCGTGACGGATGCAATGGAATAGGTGGAGGTATGTTTAATCTACCTTCAGCGAGTTGTTGATAGAAATTTGTACGTTGAAAAATTCCAGTCACAATCTTTGCCATATCAACATATATGAATCTGTAATCTGAATCAACTACCGCCAAAAGTACAATGGAGAAATATCCTTTATAATTATAGTTCACTGTGCCAGATTTTGAAAATTTTTCAATTCTTATGTGTTTTCCATCAATGCAACCGATGCAGTTTGGGAAATTCGCTCTTTGTTTAAATCCGTCCGCTATTGATAACCATCGCTCAGTAGTAGGGGCTGCCAAGTATTATTATTATTTCCATAAATTGCGTAAACTACAAATATGAGTACAAAATTCTACAAAGTTCATATTATGGTTAAGGCCTTGAGCTTAAGGAAGCTATGTAGGCCATAAAATAGATACATATATAAATCCATTCAGTGAGATTTATTTTTATTTATTTATGTATTTATCCATAAATTGCATAAACTACAAATATGAGTNCTGAACAAGCCACAAAAAAGAAGTACATCTACAGTGATAGCCTACAATTTTTATTCAAGACTGTAGAACCCGATGAAACTGAAGCAAGCTTATCAGCTCAATGTATTGCTGAAAGTGATACCGAAAGTCAACAATCATCAATAAATAATTCAACAACTCGTCGCAACGATATTCCATCCACTTCTGCATCTTCCTCATCCACGTAGGTCAGGAATAGTGCGGGAACGAAAAGGCTAATTACGGTCGATACAGAGATAATTAAGGATATACAGGCTACACCCGTGGAATCGGAATTCACTGACGACGACCGTGCATTTATGATGTCTCTCCTTCCAACCTTGAAAAAATTTGACGACGAAAAATTGAATTCAGGATTGAACTCATGCATTTACTTCGTAGATTTAAAAGACGCAGGCTTACGTCGTCATCTAACACTGATTACACAACGTCGCCTAGAGATTATGGTGACGATTTTTCACCACACTAAGAAACCCCACTGCAACAAAACCAACAGTATTCATTCCTGCAACAAACTACACAGTTTTCACCACAGCAAGAAACTCCACAGTTTTCACCACAACAAGAAACCCAAGTTACCATTCATTCTATCACTGAATTAATTTCCCAAGATATTTCTAAAATGTTAGGTTCATAATTTTATATGTAATACTGCTTACTTAAAATAAATACTTATATCAAAACTAATAGAGTATTTATCTACTACACCACTATAAAGAGAAAACGTACTTACCTCAAAGTTACAGCCAACATTTCAGTTGGTGGTATGCATGCCCTGTAGTTCGTGTCTTGAAGTGTGATGGCATCTTTTTTGTGACATAGAACAAAGTCGAATGTAATCCTGGACATTCTATAGTAGTTGAAAAACTTCTCGTCATCCTGTAGCAACTTGTCTTGTAGTACATAAAACGCTCCTGAGATGTATCGTTCGCGTATTAACGGGTGAATCCAAAATATTCTGCATCGCCTACGCCTTCGAACGTACAAAAGCAGAAGAAGTTGTCGCCTGTTCAATGCGGGCATTCTTCTCACCACAGCGGATCAAACTCAATGAACTGACCGAGGCGGTGAACAAACGATCGCCGTCACCGGCACGAGATTACCGGACCGATTTTTTCTTTTCTCGTTCTCGTGACGGTTGCAGTGAACAAACGCCCTGACCGCGTGGAATGACGGAAGAATCGGGCGTCAGATCCCATGTGGTGTTTGAAACTTAGCGGAAAGATCAAAAAGCTCGAAACGTGGGTGCCCCATTTTAACAATCAACAGAAATTGTCACGTTTCGAGGTCTGTTCCTCTTTGCTTTTGCGTAATCAAAACGATCCTGTTTTGGTTCGGATCGTCACGTGCGATGAAAAGTGGATCCTTTACGACAACAGGAGATGTCCAGGGTAGTGGTTGGACACCGATGGGGAAAACCCACCAGAAAAGACCATGGTGGTCAGCGGCTGATGTGATTCACTATAACTTTCTGCACCTAGGCCAAACCATCACAGCAGCAGAGTCCTATTGTGAGGAAATGTACCGGAAATTGCATAAGCAGCAGCCGGCACTGGCCAAAAGAAGAGGTCCAATCCTGCTCCTCGATAACGTCCACAAATCACCGTCTGAAAATTAAACAAATTGAGCGTCGAAGTTCTGCCTCAGCCACCATACTCCCCAGACCTCTCGCCAACCGACTACCATCTTTTTAAGGACTTCAATAACTTTCGGTAGAACCTTAGCCAAAACGGCCTTCGTCGACTCCATCGAATCCCATCGACTTCTGTTACGTTAACAAACGTGCACTGATTCAAATGGCGCTTATTTCGATTAAATCGACTAAGTACTCACTGAGATATTACAGTTCAAAGTACACTCATGAAAACGGACAAAACCTTTGAAACAACATAATAATATCGATTGGGGAAGGGATCTAAATATGAGATTGAATGCATCAAAAACTTTTTGGTTGAATGAGAAATTGAGTATGTGTCATGTGATGTGTTACTCAATAGCTCACAGCTCCAAAACAAACACTTTTCCCAATCAGAAATGCAGTACTCTTCTCGACCAACCAAATTGGCGTCTTCAGGAAATGAATCTTCTTGAATCTTCACCAACCTACCCTTAACATTATCAATTCAGAAGTCCTTGAGGATATACCAGAGTGTTGACCAGTAAAAATGGCCATACGAGCTCTACTTGTATCAATTATTATATGATAACAAATCATCCCAAATCGATTTACAAATATCATTTGGTTAGCCCATATCTCATACAATGAGATTCCATAACAGACAAAAACTGTTTTAGAACTGAATTTTTCCTTCAACAACAAAAACTGAGCTAGCAGCTGATCGGAATAACAGATTGTTTAACACGGGTTACATTTATTATTTTGGGCTTTTTGTATTTTGAGTTATTTGATTGAGAATTTGTGCAATTATTATAGACATGAGAAACTGATGAATAGGTAAAATAAAATACTTTTACTCAATATATGAAAATAGCTGATAGGACTTTGTTTTTGTTTTAGAATCTGGGTTAGTTTCAATATATCCAGTAGTTGACTTATCTGGACGATGAACTTCCCAATAGAAAAAAACTTTCTTGGATTAATAAATAATTAATGACTGAGCTGGAAAACACACCATAACCATCTAAAATAAAAGTTGAATTCCCTCTGTTACATGTTCCGTCATCTGAGACGAATACCTACTAAAGGTCAACTTTTAACATTTTACTACGCTCAAGTGGTCATTTTAATATAATAGAATACAATATTCTTTTATAGGATGGATCCATTTTAACACAGAATATTTTTCAGTGTTTTATAATCAATCAATTCATGGTTACTTATTGTGCAGCCACCATGCCTAAGTAAGATTAGAAAATCAGGACCATTAAAAATGAGTTCACTTGCGAGTTGTGAAAGTAAATACACAGTTAAGTTAACTGAGTCAATTCAATACAATAGTAAATTTCAGTTCATGAGTATTTTCGAATACGAAGGATTGTAGAATGTCTAGTCACGAGGGACACTGTCTCTCTTTAGGTCCCAACAGAAATCACCAATCATATGTATACTCGCTCCTCCCGAATTTTGATGTCCTGGAGAAACCTTTCAGCCTGTTCTTGATTTGTATCAGAAGGATTGTCATAAAAGCGGTTCAAGTAATTGCATTTCTACATTATTATTGCAACCAAGATTTCTGAGGTTTATAAGCATGCTGTCCATTAACACGATTTTTGTCAGTTTTTTGTTGTACAAAAAAGTTGAATAACGAAAACGAAAGAGTTGCAAGCATTTAAATCAAGTACATTTAAGGATTTGACATAATTGGGTTCCTTTATAAGTTGCTGTATCTGAGGCCATCACAAATGCCAGCCATTACTAAGTCTAGAAAATTTACTCTCTATGTATTTGAAAAAGGAGACCCTTTATGTTGTAGAGCCTCAACAAGCTGCTTCATCGACCCTACTTTTATATGTAATGGGGGCAAAGGTTTTTTATTTGGAAATGAAAAGCATATGAATTATGTTTTTTTGCACACTGACATGTTCTCGTTCACTGGTCAGTCTCTCTTTCCAGTGATTATCTTGTTGGCCAAGTAAAAATTTACCCATTTTGAGGCCAACACAATTTTTTTTATGAAGAGACGCCAATCGCTTGGTGGATACCCATTTTCAACAGTAAACCTCGAACTTCTTGGCAGTATGCAAGGCTGATGTCACGAGAAAAAAATGGTAGTAATTCTTCTTTCCTTTATAGTAAGATGCTATTTTTGTTCCAGAGGCGAGCAACTTTCTTTTTGTTACCCGAGAAGCAAGTAACTCAGAACATTCTTTTTAAAGATTCAGGTCTCTGATACGAGTTATTTTTGCCTCTTCGGTGCCTGTAATATAATTACTGGCAAGTACATCTTCACCTACACAGAGCTGTGGCCGTATTGCAGAAGACAGATGTAGAATTCCACTGGTGGCAATTGTTTTGGTTGATACCAACAATGGATCAAGTGATAAGGACTGATCGACACTGTCTTCTTCAGCTATGGGTGATTTTTATGGAAAATAAACATATAAGTTGGCAATACTATAGCTTGAAAAAGGTAGCTGTTAGAAAGAAACGGTTTGCGAATTTGGAATAGGCACTCCAAAAACTTTTCAAAACGGCTGTTATTTTGTGAAACCTATTATTAATGTTTATTGCCTTTCTATATACTCTTGGATACAAATTTTAAGTTTTATTGCCTTTGATAATTTCTATCGCAGTAGTAGACGAAATGCCATGCACAAAAACCCGCAGACCACGGCCGTGAAAGTATACATTCTTTGATCAGCTGTTACTTTATCCAGAACTGTTAATTTTTTGGTGTTTGATCCCATGTGTAATATAATAATTTATACTTACATATATTCAACCGTTCCACAAAAAGTATGTGTTAGAACACCATCCTTAATATGTTCCTTGCATAGACCAAAGTCCGTTAGTTTGACATGTCCCTCAGCGTCGAGTAGTATATTTTCTGGTTTCAAATCTCTATAAATTATTCCTGCTGCATGTAAATGTTTCAAGGCTAGTACTATTTCGCTTAAATAAAACCTACAAAAAGTCAAGGTAACTATTTGAAACAAAGTACGAAGAGAAACTTACCTTGCTTTATTGTCTGTAAATAATCCCTCTTTTTCTAGATACGCGAAGAGTTCGCCGCCACTCAAGTATTCTAGGATTAAATACAGTTTTCCATTTGTTTGAAAGGCATATTTCAAGTCCACTATAAAAGGATGCTAAAAAACATTTTTTCACACTTTAGTAGCAATATTAACAATGTGAAAATTGAAATGAAATAAGGTAGGAATTTTATGTAAACACCAAAACGGTGGATCTCTAATGACATATTACAGATTACAAAAAGGAAAAATTTGTTTAGTAAACTAGTTATGAACAAATATCAAAATTATTTTCAAAATCTCATAGTGTATGTAAATTATGAATTGATTTGTAGAAAACGAAATCAAAAATATAAAAGCTGTAATTGCCAAACTGCAGCTTTTCATTTAAACTTATCACACCTCCATCTCCACATCTCCATAAAAATATCAGTTATATCAGTAAGTTCTAACTGATTTTTTTGACAATACGGATCAAGTTATATCCTCTTTGCCGCTGAATAAATAATTCTTTTTGCCAATATGATTTGAGTGCTTGTTTTCTGTTCAAATTAATGTTTATAATCTATCAGATTTCTTTTACACTTATCAGTAAAAATAAATTATTCATAAAACAAAGATATTCATAACCGACAATTTTTTAAAAGATTTGTGGCTTCATTTGAATGGATCATTTAAATTTGTGTCTCAACAGAAATAGAGATTCTTTATTCGTTTTAGTTGAAACGTTTTATAGATGTATGTATTGTTATATTACACAGTACAATACATGTATATACAAAACAATTGAAATTCAAGTTGTCACTTGCTTGAGGTAACCAACTTACTTATGTATTTGTCATTTATATGGATTTGTGGGGGTTTAAAAGATTTTATGGAACTGTGGAACACTGTGTATGAAAAAAAATCAATATTGTAACCACCGAAGAGAAGCTGACAATTGAAAACTCACCTTTATTTCTTCTAAAATATTTCTTTCTGCTTTTGTATGAGCAGTGTCTTTTTGATTTTTGACAATGTTAGCTTTATTTAGGACTTTCATTGCAAAAATAGTATTAGCATCTGAACCGGTGGTTTTCCTCACTTGAAAAACTTTTCCATAACCACCTTTGCCTAAAACTTTGAGCAGATGAAAATTCTGACGTCCAATAACCTCCCGACTCGCTGGCGGGCGCATCACCGGAATAGGTTCTGTATCTCCGTTTCTGAAAATGTAATCACATACATAGACATACATAAATAGTCCGGTCAAATTAGACTAAAAATAAGAGAGAAGGTACATAAATTTACAACAAGCTGCAAATGCGTGTAATTATTCAAAACATAGTTAAAAATAAGATTTTAAAATTACGAATGATTGCGATGCCTGGAAAAAAATTTATTCGAGGTCAAAGGTCAAAAATCTGGAAAAAAATTGTTTTTTCGCGATTTTCAGAAAAACGGTAAGTTTTATCATAAAATAACCTCAGATAAAAATTGTAGATCATAAAATTCTCTACCATCATTATTTTTTTTTCTTTGAGCCACCGTTTGCTACATCGAATGTAGCTTTGTAGGGTACTATTGAATCACATTTCTTTAGAGCTTTTAGATAAGGGATCATAAGTATGGCGTTACCGTTTAAGAATATAAAGTTTTCCCCTTTAGTTCTATTATGGAAGCTGTTTTCAGCGATTCCACATATTTTATTTGGTTGCTCAGATATAGCCATTGTAAGTTTTCAAATTGTCACCCTGCATGTGATCATTATACATGAGTCATATGGTGCAAAAATGAATCAAATTTGAATTATGATAAAAAATCATTTAACACACAATTGATGACCTGACTGAAAACAATTAAATGCAAAAGATACAGAAAAATTGAAAAATTAACAAAAGCATTTCAAGAAGTCTCTCAGAGGGAAATAGACTTGAAGGAACTAATAAAAAAAATCCAACAAAAATATTTTCAAAACTATGAAGCCGAAATAATTGTTTTAAGAAAAAACATCAAGGTAATAGATAACCAAAAATAACAGACAATTTCTACATAAACTGAAAAAAGAAATATTGACACAAACTACCGATGAAAGGAACTATAAAGATGAAGCTATAAAACTGGAAAGAGATATATTAGAGTTGAACATTATAAAACAGAATATGCTGACATCTATAAATACACTGGAACAGGAAAAAAATTGTACCTAGAAGTTGAGACATTAAAAAAAGAATTTTATTTCCTGAGTAAAAAAGACAAGGTAATGACCAAAAAAATAAATTACAAATTATTGAATAGAAGGNAGAGTAGGAAAGGTAAATATCACAAATAGATTTGTACATACAACAAAATGACAAAAAAGTTTAAAAAAAAATAATCAATAAGAGTTACACAATTTCATACAACCTATTTCTAAAACTAGTGAGATTTTGGAAGAAGATATCAGTCATTTTGTACATTATTATAGGCATTGCACATAGCATTTAATGGGGCATTTTGATAATAATTTGTTCTTGCCGATTCAATATAAATAGTATTCAAATCACTTGATAAAGCTACTGTGCTAGCAAAACATGTGATATATTTTTTAAATAAAGTTTGTGGAGTTCAAATCGTGAGGTGTAGTTTGTGAAATTACTATGGATATTCATCAAGTAACGGCCGAATCAATAAAAAAAAAGTGTGAAACGATCTAGTTTCATAAGCAGGTACATTGAAATTGATTCTTGGTAGAAGACAGGGGATCATTCACATCACTATGTATCTTGTACAAGTATATTAAGTATGCAAATACTCTTCTTTTCCCGCGGGTTTGTATGTTGTACTTTTCAAGTACAAAGAGACTGATTTAAAATCAATCCAATTTCAATAAGTAAACGTAGATATAAAGTATTAGGTTGTTTCAAAAGTCTTGTCAGTTTTAATGCCATGTGTTTTTGTAGCTCCATATGTCCATAAATATTTATTCTACCGTGTTGTGGTATAAACTGATCGATAGGGAATGTTGTACTCAATACATTGATGCTGTTCATTTCTTTCCAAATTTTAATGTTTCACCCTTTTCAGCTTATTGCTATATGATGTCATTGAGCTATTATTAGCCAATTTTTCTCTAGGAATCCAAATTGAACCAAAGTGCTGGCAAAACTGCCCAAAATATTAACCAGGCATTTGGCAATGATAGTGTTAGTGACCGCAATGTTCAACGATGGTGGACGGTGGTAGGACGAGGATTTGAGGACCCTGGTGGAGACCGATCCATCACAAACGGTGCGTGGGATGCTAAAAGAACTAGTCGTCAGCTCCCGTGTGGTTTATGATAGTTTAAAATGTATCGAAAAGCTCAAAATGTGGGTGTCCCACGATTTGAACAATCAACAGAAATTGTCACATTTCAAGGTCTGTTCTTCTTTGCTTTTACGGAACCAAATTGATCTATTTCTGAATCGGATTGTCACGTGTGATGAAAAGTGGATCCTCTATGACAACAAGAGATATTCAGGACTGTGGTTGGACACTGATGAGCCATTCAGGCATTTCCCAAAGGCAAGTACCCACCAAAAAAGACCATGGTTACTCTATGGTGGTCAGCGGCTGGTGTGATTCACTATAACTTTGTGCAAATGAGCCAAACCATCACAGCAGAGTTATATGTTGAGGAAACCGACGAAACGTACCAAAAGTTGCGTCAGCTGCAGCCGGCACTGGTCAACAGAAGAGTTCCGATCCTGCTCCACGACAACGCCCGTCCGCACGCTTCACAAATAATGTTCTGGAAATTAAACAAATTAAGCGTCAAAGTTCTGCCTCACCCACCATATTCCCCATACCTCTCGCCAACAGACTACCATCTTTTTATTGGTTGGTTGGCAGCAAGGTAACAATTGCGGTGTCATCTGCATACAGTTGAAGTTGGCCGCTCAAGGCGAGACATGATAGTGAGTTTATGTAAATCAAGAAAAGTGATGGCCCCAGGATGGAACCCTGAGGAACTCCACAAGTTATATCAGTTGTTTGGCTAACAGCATCATTAAACTAGTCCATATGTGGTGACATACTTGTGTCACTATTGTGCTTACAGTCTTGATACCCAATTTTTAGCTGTACATACATATCAATGAAAGTATTTCCACTTGCGAGGTATCTGTAATACAAAATAAATTGTTAAATTTTATTGTTTCAGCACATGCTGTCGTGAACAAATGGTCTAACATAAGAGACACATTTACAAAAACACTTAAAACTAAGTCTGGACAAGCCACAAAAAAGAAGTACATCTCACAGTGATAACCTACAATTTTTACTCAAGACTGTAGAACCCGATGAAACTGAAGCAAGCTTATCAGCTCAATGTATTGCTGAAAGTGATACCGAAAGTCAACAATCATCAATAAATAATTCAACAACTCGTCGCAACGATATTCCATCCACTTCTGCATCTTCCTCATCCACGCAGGTCAGGAATAGTGCGGTAACGAAAAGGCTAAATACGGTCGATGCAGAGATAATTAAGGATATACAGGCTACACCCGTGGAATCGGAATTCATTGACGACGACCGTGCGTTTATGATGTATCTCTTTCCAACCTTGAAAAAATTTGACGCCGATGATAAAATTGAATTTAGGATTGAACTCATGCAATTACTTCGTAGATTTGAAAGACGCAGGATCGTGTCGTCATCTAACACTGATTACACAACGTCGCCTAGAGATTATGGTGACGATTTTTCACCACACTATTTTCATCCCTGCAACAAACCCAAACAGTATTCATTCCTGCAACAAACTCCACAGTTTTCACCACAACAAGAAACCCAAGTTACCATTCATTCTATCACTGAAATAATTTCCCAAGATTTTTCTAAAATGTAGGTTCATAATTTTATATGTAATACTGCTTACTTGAAATAAATAGAGTATTTATCTACTACACCACTATAAAGAAAAAACGTACNGTTGAATTACAAAAAATGTTTGTGTAATGTTTAATATACAAACCGAAAAAAAAAGAGTTATCTGTGTAATTCTGAATTCTGGCACTATTAAAAACCAGAGGGTGTCCGATTATTGGAATTGGATTATTGGATTATAGAAAAAAAATAATTACAGTACAACCAAGCTGCTGGAAAATAATTCCATGAAAATCAAAAGATAAATAGATAAGTACTATTCTGATCACTCCCATATTGATTCCAATTCAACAGCCACCGGTAGACAGCTGTTTCAGCCTGTTGGGCATCGTCAGTACCGAGCAGGCAGTCCTCGATCAAAGACAAAATGTGAATAACAAAGAAAAATACTTGATAAAAATAACTGCGTAAACGCAAGCGAGACATAAGCTACTGGGAAGCTATCCTGGAATGCCATCATTTCCCAAATTTCTGCTATCGCAGTTGTCGGTTGATTGGTCAAACCACCAATACTGACATAAAAACTTAACGAGTTAACTTGGGTGTCACACCAATAGGTGGTTCCACTTATGTTTCGCTTGCATTTAGGCAGTTATTTTTATCAAGTACTTTTCTTGGTTATTCACATTTTGTCTTCAATCGAAGACCGCCTGCCCGGTACTGACGATGCCCAACAGGCCGAAACAGTTGTCTACCTGTGGCTCTTAAATTGAAATCAATATTGGAATGATCAGAATAATACTAACTCATTGTAAGTGTGTGTCAGAACAATAACACTTACAAATAATAAATAATATTAATCCCTTAATGCTATAGTGTGTACAATATTTTTCGTGGGTCCATGTTTAGCTCACAAACAAACTGGATGGTTTGCCCACTCAAGAGCATGCTACATGTATTGTCCGTATGAAAAATGAAAAACGTGGTGTGCTCAAATCCAAGCCACAAACAGACATTATTTGGCCTTGGGACTTATTACTAGTCATTGCAAGCAAATGCCAATCTAATTGGAAATTGCACAAGTTTAAAATGAATTTGCACATCTTTAGGTATAATAGGAATTGGTGGTATTGATATCTCAGAACTATTCATTTAAAATGATGTCTTTGACGCTTTTTATTCATTTTTTAGTAAGTAATTGCATGCTTTTGTACAGCCGTAGTGGGTTCAAATTAAGGAGCGAATCAACATTCAGTTGTAAATTATGCAGAGGCATGCCTGGCAAATCCAATGAGTTCAACAACTCTGTTGGATAATCCACAGCTTCAGTGGCATCGCGCTCAATGGATAAACAATTATAGTGGCCGAAAACTGTGTAGGGAGTGAGAGAAGGCTTATTGTGTAAGAGAGACAAAAGACCGGCTTCGTTCTCATCCCTACTCCGTGCTGTTTAATGAAAAAATGAAACAAAAAGAAAATCTGGAGTGGAGCACACTCGGGCACACTTGGTTTACTTCAACAAGAAATGTCTTCAATCCAACGTCAAATCCTTTTTGTGAGGTATATTAATATCAATAAACTGAAAATAAAGGAAAATTAGTTGCATCATTCAAAATGATATCCACCCCACAAGGTAACGCAACTACTACCAAATTACTGAACTAATTCCAGAAACTTAACAACCAGATCATCAAGACAGACGCCAAAATTTACTTCAACAAGAAATGTCTCGAATCCAACGTCAAACCAAACTAAACCAAAATACGCATTTTAGACAAAGTATCTAAGTAGCCACAAACGTTATGCTGTCAAAAAATTAACATCCTTTGAATCTATCAACAATTCACATAACCACAATACACTCTTAGTTGTGACAAAAAAATGAATACATAGCCTGAACAAACAGAAGTAAAATTTTTTTATACTTACAACCATAGGTTTATATGGTGGTTCACATCTGCGATTTATAACATCATCCCAGTTGGTACTTCTGAAATATGGATGTCTTATAATCTCGTTTGCATCTTCAGGACCAGAACCCAATCTGGAAGCAACTTGTCTCTTCAATAGTCTCCTCAGAAAGTCTCTAGTATCTCTATTTAAATAAGCAGGATAAATTAGTTTCTTTTTTACGATTGAGTCTATTGTCTCCTTACGATTTGCCCCTCCGAAAGGAGGCTGTAAAGAAAAAAGTAAAATACAATTAATTAAAAATCAAGAATTCTTCTATAAAAAAAAATGGAAAACAGTTCACTGTTGATAAATAAAAATGTATATTAGATTGTTTCAAAAGTTTCGTCGGTTTTAAAGTCATGTGTTTTTGTAGCTCCATATCTCAATGAATATTTATTCTCTGTCCTCTACATCGCGAACAGGAGTACGATTAACCAAATGCTGTAAATGGCCCAAAATAGAGAAATCGAGAGGATTGTGATCCGGGGATCGAGCGGGCCAGTTTTGTGGTCCTCCTCGACCTATCCACTGATTTGCATATGTTTCAGTTGAATGCTGACGTGCTACTTGACTAAAATGGGC